CTTGACTTTGGATTATTGCCATTCATGTGTTTCTTTTCTTTTCTGGGAAAACGAGTTGCCGAAAGTAATTAGAAATAGAAAATCCCCACCAAAAAACTACTTTCTCGATCCTTATCTATAAATTTTCACAAAAACACATATCAATAAAATACTAAAATATATGTAAAAGTCATTTTTTATTGTTATGTTTCATTTAATGACACAATGTTTTAAACTCTAAGTCTTTAAATAAATAAAATTTTTTAACGGTCAAGACTTGTATATAAATAAAATCAAAATCAAAGCGAGGGGGAAGAAGTATAAGTTTTTTTAGAAGAACATTTTTGTTTCATTCTATATTTTCTTATAAAATTTCAAAGAATTATTTCTTAGCCTCTTTCTTACGACACCCTTATTCATGAATAATCTGAAAATGTTCTGATTCATTGAATATTTAAGGCAATGAATGTGGTCAATTGGTGGATATTTTAACTTAACGGTCAAGAGACTTACATAGAGATAAAATCAAAATCAAAATTACAAGTTGTAACTAGCGACAGAGGAAGATCTAGACTGAAATAAATATTCTTTCGGTCCTTAATATTAATTAACTAATTTAAATATATTAAGTAAGTTAATTAAATTAATTAATATAATTTTTTTTAAAACACTCTAATTATTTTTCTTAATTTCTTCTCTCCCTCTTCTATTTGATTATTATTGAAAGAATATTAATAAGATTAATTTAAAAAAACTCGATAAACATGTGAAATTGGTCTTAAATATAGGACCAACATCAATTTTCAAATTAGGTCCTACATTAAGGACCAAAGGAGTAATTAATTAATTGTAGCTCTTAAAGAATTTGTTGAGGGACTAGGTAGAAATTATAATGTCATTCTAGAAAATCTTATTATGCATTGATTAATTTTCTTTTTTCTGGTTTTTGTTTGTCTTAGATGATATTTTTTGTGCAATGCTTACATTATGTTCTCTAATCATATATAATCATGTCTCTTATTTTTAAAATATTAGTATTTAATTATAAATTTACATGAAACAAAATAAAACACATAGCCATACATAATTGAAAAACTTGATATACCGGATATAAGGAGCTTAACCTAAATTTTTTTTCATATTTTTTTTTCTTCCCAACTCTAATGCCTTGTTTTATGAAAAAGGATATTTATTATGTTGTATCTTTTTAATTTTAATTTATCTATATTTTTTTCTATTAAAGAATGTAATTTATGATATTAAATATGGGTAAATTTTATTTCTTTTTTTTAATTTTCAGACCAAATGATGACTCAACACCTCTTCTTGATTTTAATGAGAGAGATAGATATGCTTCATAACAAGAACTGGATGGATATATTTAATTAAATGTGCTTTTGGCAAAAAAGAAAGAGAAATTATTACAAAATTCATATTTCAGATCCATATATGAACATCAGCAACGATGGATGTTGATACTGATGTTTGATCACATTGGATAACCGTACGTCTAACAGGAATATATATACATATTTATTGGTAAATATATATATTATATCAAGTTCTTGCTCTTTAATGCCATATGCATCAAATAATTTGATTTTATATACATCTTCGCACTGTTTTCATCTATATCCAAAATCCATAACATTTACAAGCAACAGATACTGCACAAATATATATAGCTTGTTTAGAATGGCGCTAGAATCCTTGAAAAGCATCTTTTCAAATATAATTTACAAAATATAAGATAAATATATGATATGAGTTTTGTCATGAATTATGTGAATAAACACTTTTAGGGATCCCAATCGTGATCATAAACTCCCTCAATTCTTTGATATAGAAGTAAAATTAGAACTTGAATATAATTCTAAATATAAGATCTCGATTTACTTTGTTTTTTATATTTAGAAATTCTTTTCAAACTTTCCATATTACTTGTATATGTTAAAAGGGTTTTCATGAAAAAAATACTTCCAGGGTAAGTAATTAAAGATAATATTTTAAGAAAACTTAAGACACATTTTTTTACAAATAACTAAACTATTTTTTTATTTCTAAAAGTTAATTATCTAGTTCTTATAGTAAGGATTGATAGAGTATATGTATATAAATATGTTAGGGGGATCAGTACAAAATGAATGACAATGGAGCATGGCCAATAATATACATGAATGTATATTATTACCATTTTCTTTTCTTTTCTGATATTATTAGTTATGGTTGAAAAGAAGATAATGGATACCCCTAATTTCCCCAACAGAATAGAAGACAAATTGAAAATAATACGAACCAGTTCAGTGTACACTGTATTAATTAAGATTTCAATCTTTAGATTTTTAATGAAAATTATGTGACATTAGCTGGGTGAGCTATATATCCTCATTAGAAAATGTGACAATATTTTGGCAAAACAAAAAAGAAATGGGAAAGAGTATATAAAAACAACCCTAAAAATACTAAATTCTAATTAAGGAAGCTAACAATTCATAATGCCAGAAAGGAAAGGAAAACTAAAATGACATTTTCAAATTAAGGGAATGAATGATACAAATGCCCTTATTTTTGTTATAAAAAAAAAAAGCTTCCCCAACCCCCTCCACCACCCGTCAGTGCTAGCCATCAACGAGATGGCTGTCAATAGGAGGAATTTTTTTTGGCAAAAGTGGTAGAGATGAGATTTGATCAGTCCCACCGCCACTTGGTTATAAAAATTAAGGATCACTATTGGGCCACCAATGCTTTACTATTAATATAACGCAAAAAATGTATAAGTTAGTTAATTAGCTTTCATTGCTAGTCATTCACAATTTTTTACAGGTATTGACTACATTTTAATAGGTATTAACAACTTTCATTTAGCAATCAACAAAATAAGTTGTTGGTTGAAGTGGTAGCGTACTTTCTTAAGAAAGAAAATACAAGTTTAAAAACCCTTTAATGTGCTTCAAGCCTCGAAAAAAATTAGTTTTGAATTCAAAGTTGCTTGATGATACCTGTCATAATTCACCCAACAAAAAAAAAGTAACATACCCATTCAAAAAAATTATAACTTACAAAAGAAAACACATGGACTAAAAATACTACTTCATCTAGTATTAAATATAAGAGCTAATTATATAGTTTACGGTTATCTTAGATATAAAATCTTAATATATTTTGTCAGACAAATTTATACTCCCTCCATTCCTTAATCGAGGAGTTAAATTAATATATAATATAAAATAATATAATATAGGAGTATTCTAGGAAATTGTGTTACATTTGTTTTACTTGACTATTTTATTTAAATTTTTTAATTTATTCAAATTTATTAAGTAATTCTTATATTAAAGATTAGGAAAAGTAATTTTTACCTGCAGATTATCCACATTTTTTTTTCACCAAGAAGTAATTTCAATATAAATGATTAAATATGATGTTTTATAAAAATCAATACATATTTTTAACAAATAACTAACTTAAACTATAATTTTTTTATTTTTTTTCAAATTAATCACGTAACTTCTTATATTATTAGGAACTGGATGGAGTAAATAGTACTTCTCTGGTATTTAATGTGAGACCTAATTAACTAATTTGAGTAAATTAAGGATGTTAGTTAATTAGTTAATATAATATGTTTTTTTTTAAACACCCAAAGCATCTAACTTAATTTCTTCTCTCCTTTTTCTACTTAATTATTGTTGAAAGAATATTAACAGGGTTAATTTGAGAAAAAAGGATAAATATGTGAAATAGATATTATATATGTGACCAATATTAACTTTTAAATTAAATCTTATATTAAGGATAAAAGAGTAATTAAATAGTGTATAATGGTAAAAATAAAAATAACAGAAAAAGAGAACTGTTTATCTTTATTGATACACAATTGGATGGAGACTGATGAACATTCATGATTCAGAGCGTATCTTGATGTGATCATTATGTGATACGGATCCATTCATGTGGATCTCAAGCAATCAGATTCCAACACATTTTAATAACTTGATTATTATTTTTCATGCAATTCCAATTCACTTGGAACAAACTTAAACCATGCATTCCTTTTTTATCAATTTTTTATATTAAATTAAATCTACCCAATGATGTTGGGTGTGTAGATTCATAAAAACAGGAAGTACAATTAAAAAAAACATCATGAAAAAAATAATTTACACACACACACACATGTGTATGTTACATTTGGGGTGTTTCATTTAATTTACTTCAAGTGATTTTGTTTTTTACGAAATAGATGTACGTAAGACGTGTTTTATTTGGTAAAGGCAGAAATAAATTTTTTGTGGTTTGTAAACAATGGAATGGTCTTTGAATAAATATTTCCCTTATTATATCTATATGGTACGATTACTAAATTTGTTTCAAAAGTTGATCCAAAACACCCCGAAGAGTATATAACTTCCATGTGAGTTGTTTAAAAACACTAACATTACTACTTCTTCCGGCAGTAAATAGAGAGTCATTCAACTAATTTAATTTGCAAGAATTAGAAAAAATTAGATAAAGTAGTTATATGTAAAATAAGCATCAGTTTCTCTGAACTAACTTAAATATAAATTTATATTGAAAATTATTCTTATCGAAAACCTCATTTATATGATCAATAGGAATAGTTTGAAAAATAAATTATAAATTTAAGAAATAAAATAAATTGACTAAGATTGACAAACTCATGAATTTAAACAAGCTCATACTAAGAATATAAATACGAATTTTGAACTCAAATCACTAACCCATAAGAATCTACCCATATACTTTTATCAATAAATTATTATTAAAAATACATAATTAAATGATTACACAACAATTAGAATTATTAGATACTAATGAATGTCCCTCAACAAATAATTTTACAAAATTTGTTTTAAAAAAACCCTCTATAAAAATCCGCTCTCAAGTTTTGAAGGGTAGAAAATTTTCCACACAAGTTACGCATAAGAGATAATTAATAATAAAAAAATAATAAAATCTCCTAAAATTGCTAAATGAAAAATCAGAAATTATTACAAAAAGTCCCTTCGGGGACATTCGATAAAATTGAAACGATACAGAAAAGATTAGCATGGCCCCTGTGCAAGGATGACATGCATAAATCGAGAAATTATTATAAAAATGTATTGTCATTTGCTTTTCAATTATAGCCAATTACTATTTAAGTATAGTAAACAAGACTGATTTTGAATTTTAAAATTCAAAAGGCATTTTTTTCGATATTTTCCCTAATAAAAATTTAATTAAGAATATTGAAATTAACGTGTAAACAAATATTTTTTTTGCCAAAATGTGTAGAGAAATATTACCTCCGATCTTTAATATTAAAGTTAGTTGACTAATTAGAAAATTAATTTAGTTAGTTATTTGTAATAAATATGTATTATCTTTCCTAAAATATCCTTGTTATTATAGTGTATTGACTAGAACTACTATTATTACAAAAACTACGTTGAGAATAAATAAATAAATATAAGAGACAAAATAAATTAAAATATTATATTTAGGGTCAAAATAAAAGTCAAATAGGCCATAAAGTTGGGGGCCTAATAAATTGTATTAAAAAAAATAAAAGAATAAAAAGACGTTATATAAAGCTTTAGAGTAATCAAAATAATTATATATAAACGTTGTTTATAGCTGGAAAAATTGGTAAAAAATCTCTGGTTGAAAATTTAATTAGCTAAAAGCATATGAATTTGAGCAAATATAACTATGATCTGTGAGTCTAATATATCTTCCACTGTGTATAATATATCATCAATGATGTGTAACAATTATTAATACGAAAGTTATTTACACACAACAGAAGACATGTTGAATATAACGAAAGATATGTTGCACTCATAGATCATGTTTACACGCTCTCAAATTCAAATCTTTTTAGCCAATTAAATTTTCAAATAGGGATTTTTTACCAATTTTTCTTTTAGAACTTACCTAGAGATTTTATATTTAATATCGCTATGGATATGAATATCGGTATTAATGATACAATCTGTAACAAAATATCAATATTATATTAATGTTACGCTAACTGTTTGAAAATAGTTAGTATAAATTTATTTAGAAAGGGAAAAGTTGATTTGTGCTGTTTAATTAATCCCACTTAAGTCATTATCATCGTTACGTATAAATAATTAGTTGTTATTACCATTCAAAATCCAATAATGCTAGCTGTGTGGGGTTGTCATCAGTAACTTAAGTGTCTTTCCCTGATATTGTGCGTACAAATTGACAGGTTTATTTATTTATAATCATAAAGCAAAAAAATAATGACACATTATTAATTAATAATTATTTTTTAGTGCTGATGCAAGAAACTTTGATTTTCTTTGCTTCATCGTGAAGTCACAGAAGTTCATATACCTCTTCAAGACTCTACTACTCTTTAGCCTTACGCCCTGCATTTTCTTTTTTAGTTTTCCAATTTTACGAAGGCAAAAACAGGTGTTTGATCATTTAACTTCACCCAAAATTTAATTTTGATCGTTTTATTTTATAAAGTGTCTTTTTAGTCCTCTAAATATATTTAGTAATATCCAAATGATTTTTTATGCCATTATTTTTAGAAATCAATCTTAATATGTATAACATAGGTCAATTTATTTAACAAAACAATAAAATGATACATATAAACCACCAACTAATCCTCCATTAAGAACAAGTTGGGGTCTAAAGTCTAAAAACGAAAACTCATTACAACCGATTAACTGAAATCTAACCTAAAAACACTTAAAAAAGGGAGCTTCAACCAATAGACTCAAAAAATGATCAGCACCTCAAAGATCGGCTAAAGTTTGAGTCTCATTTTGAATTCCAGCCACAACACTACTAAACTAGACACTGTTTGAAGTCCCAGAGAGCATGAATAGATACTCCTTAGCAATATTTATAAAATAAGAGACATAGGAGGGCACCACCATAGATCACCAACTCGTAGTGACCCACGAAGTCGATAACTTTTGAGTTATTAAAAAAAGTCTTCGCATAATCTTGTTGAGAAGGTGAAGTTCAAGCCACACATAGAGTGTGTCGATAAACTTGATGGAATGATGTTAGGGACAAAGGTTAACCAGAGATAGCAAGAATAAAAAGAAACAGAACGTAACATAACCAAAATGAAAAAAAAAAATTGAAGTTAATTAAACTTGGTAGTCTTTTGAGCTATTGTAGCATTACCCATTTCAGGCAACTCAAGTTGCAGCAAAACATTATTGAAAAGATATTTTATAAGATTAAAAAATCAAATTAAAATCTGATATAACATTAGAGAACTAAATATTATTTTTACCTTTAAAATTAAATTTTAATTTTAATTTTATCTCAACATTTGGCCTTGAACAATTTATTCCACACGGACATGTTAGCAAAGCTGACAAATTGTATGAATTTTGGATCGATTAATCAACATTAAAATAGTTTTTATTCTCATATATATTTGGAACTAACTCTTAAGATTTTCATATGATTATAAATGTTAATATCAATGAATCTACTACAACTTATGGATTTTTCATAACTGATTTTTGTAAATAAACAACATCAAATTAATGAACTTTTGATGGTGAAAAATAAAATCATTAAAATAAGGGAGAATTCCAATAAAATCTGATTGAAATACCTAAATCCAAATTAAGGCTTACTGTAATGTCCTGAGTTTTAATAGTCCTTTAGCCCTGATTTTGAGGACAATTGGTGTTTAAACTTAAATTTTTGGTGTCTAGTTTGGGATCAAATTGAGTTGGAGGAGCAGGTGAACAAATCTCTCTCAGGATTTGTTTGCCGCGGTGAAGCAGAGAGTTTTGGGAGAGCTTCTTTTCAGGAATAAGTTTTCGTTGCGACTAAGTTAAGGGGGAGTCATGACGAAAGGTGTCAGGTGAGCAAGAGTTCCTCTCGGGAAAAATTTATTGCCGTGATGCAATGGGTTTTTGGCCTCGACCAACTTGGGTCTTTAGGTTAGAAAATCCCTTTCAGGATTAGTTAGTCGCGACCAATTACTGGGTTCGCCACGACGAAGAGGTCGCGTCTTTAAATCCGAGGAAAGGGTCTGATGTGCGAAAAATAAAAAATCTAAAGGAGGGAAGTGGTGCTCTGCTAGGGCTTCGCATTCTTGGCTTGGGGAAGGTGTTTCTAAAGGTCCAATACCTCAAGTAAGTAAATCTAACCTCTAATCTACTTTCCTTTTTGGAATTTTTGAGGATTTATGGTGAAACCCTAGAGTTTTCTATTTTATCATGGAATTAAGGCTTTTGACCAATTGTTTTGAGTTTAGATAATTGTTTTGGGTTAGTCTAAGTATTTAATCGGTGTAACTTTCTTGGATTTGAAGAACGTTGAGTTTTTGAAGTTAGGGTTTATGGAAGTGAGAGGTTTGTGATTGAGGATGATAATGTGGAGGTTGAATTTGAGTTTTGTGAATTGGGTTATGTTAAGGAGGGTTTAATTGGATGTTTAATAGGTTTAAAATGTTGTTAAGATTTTAATTGTTCAAATGGGATGTTTGGGTGTTGAATTCCTATAGTGGGTCCTTAAGGTTATGAATTTCATTGATGCTTGAAAGGGGATTTGATGTTTTAATAGATTTTCATGACCTTGGAGTGTTGTCTTGATGGTTATACCCTTTTGAGTTGGGTAGAGTTTTGGTTGAGGTTGGAAATTTTGTGTACCCAAGTGTTATGTTGACCATTCTATTAGTTTGTTAACTAATACATAGTGTTTGCGCGTTTGTGTGCTTGTGTAGACCTGTTGTGAGTGTTTGTTGGTGTACGGGACATGTTGGTGTTTTGATTATTTCTTGCTCAGGCGAGAGGTAACCACTTTTCAATCCTTTGTACATGCTTTTGTGGTATTGTAAGTGGATTTATGTTTTGTGCTCCAAGTAACAATTTGTGTTCAAATTGTATGTTGTATATCGAAAAGGAAAACTGTCCTGTGGGGTTTCAATTGATATTAAATGGATCCTGAACTTGTGAAAGATATGCCACTGAAAGAAATTAATCGTGAAATGAATATTTGCTCTTTGATTACGGTTTGAGCATGATGCATGCATTGGGAATTTGGTGAGAGATTTAGTTATTTCTACCACGTGGTAATGCTTCCATTAATGTATGATGGTTGGCTTTTTACGTCCCTCATAGTGAAGGATAGGCCTTTTGGCTCCTTACGTCCCCAAGAGTGAGAGATAAGCCTTCTATGACTCCTTACGTCTCCTATAGTGAGGGATAAGCCTTTTATGGCTCCTTACGTCCCCCATAGTGAGAGATAGGCCGGGTTCGGCTCCTGAAAATCCCCCAAAGTAAGGGATATGGTTGATGGGATTGCATCATTGTACTTGTATGATTTGTCGTGGCTATCGTTTATAATATTACTTGTTAACTGTCCCACTAGACACCCCACGAGCACCTATTTAGTTTGTATCTTGAATTGGAAAGGTTGATTACTGGGACTTCCATCTCACCCAGTGGTTATAATGTTTTCAGGTGAAGGTTATAGGCGTAGGTCTTCGGGAAGGGACGTGGAGGCTTGAGCTTGGTTAAGCTGTAATGCCTCTAGCCTGTGGTATATGTATGACCAGTGTATATTGCCACATTTAGAGTCTTTTGGAAATATTTTGATTGCTTGACCTTATTGTAAATTGGAAAAAGTGTTATTTCCGTGTTTTGTTGGCCGGAGGCTGTTCTTGTTATTGTACAAAGTTTTGAATTTATGTTCATGTGGATAACTATATGAGCTTTTGTGCAATTCTCTATCTACCCGAGCCTGAGGCTCGGAGGCCCAATTAAATGAATTGTTTGATGGAATAAATGAAAGATCTTTGGTTGCATGCAACTTGTTTGGATTTCTACCCACAGTTTATTTGTTAGTTTTAAAATGTTTACACGTTTTCTTTTCTATTATGGCAGCTTGCATAACAGTTTTCCTTTTCTACCATAGTAGTGGGTTTATATCGAGTTTTATAATGTATTAGAGAAGGAGTTTTTACACTTACACTTTTAACAATTTCCTAATAAAGCCATGAGGCTTAATTTAAAATTTTTGAATGTTGTCAAATGACTAAAATGCCTTCCTTTAATTAAAAATAAAAATTAATTATTTTTCCCTCCCAAGTAATCTTCCATATCTTA